TGTTCCAGCTGCTGGGAAGGAACCAGCTCTGACCCAGCTCAAAACCAACTCACCACAAGCTCCATGCAGCTCAAAACCTGTCCCTGGTCATCCAGGATCTTCTGGTAGTTGGGTTTGGTGCCAAGGACTTTGGCCTGAGATGTCTGGAGGTAACTCAGAGGTTCTGCTTCTCCTCCGTTCCTCTTGCATTCCTCGAGCTGCCTGTGAAAGAAAACATATATATAAAAATTTTAATTATCATCATTTATTTATCCATGAAGTCATCATTTAATTGTCTTTTCCAACACTAAGATGGGAGGTGACAACCCACACCTGGACATTTCTTCAGCGCTTTCCTGGTGGTGCAGTAAGAGCTGATCCCAGGAGCGACATTCAGCGGTGAACCTGTGGAGCCAGAGGAGAAAGCAAGTCTGGATTATCCCAAATTCCCTTTGTCAAGTGGAAACTCACAGGAAAAACAGGCAAAGAATTAAAAACACCCCAAAATATCTTCTAGGAAGTGGTGTCACAACCCAATGTGGGTGTTCGTGGTCCTACCTGGTGATGTACTCCTTAACTTGGGCCACCGACTCATCCAAAGCCGAGTCCAGTAAAATCCTGAAGCAGAGAGAGAGAACATCAGCACGACACGGGGAGAAACACCAGTTCCACGAGGATATCGGGGAGGTTCTGGCGATGGAGCATCAAAAATGTTTAAAATTGAAGAATATGAAAGACAAAAAACGTTTCCTTGATCTTCTCAATAATAATGGTGCTCTGAATATTCACCAAACTGGTTGTATCAGCCCCCAAAAATCCCGCTGGGGTCACTCTGCTGATGGAGGTGAGTGGACAAGCCACAGAGTAAAACGAAGAGAAACCCCAAAATCATGGAATCACAGAAGGATTTGGGTTGGAAGGGACCTCAGAGATCATCTGATTCCACCAGCACGGTCACCTTCCATCAGATCAGGTTGTTCAAAGACTCATCCAACGTCATCTTGAACATTTCCAGGGATGGGGCATCTCCAGGTGACCTCTTCCAGCATCTCACCACCCTCACAGTGAAGAATTTCCTCCTCAGAAACAGTTTTGTGTTCAGGTTTCTCACTTCTCCCCCTAAAAATGTGACGTGACCGGCTGTTTACACTCCACGAGGGATGAATTTGGTGAGTCCTTACCCTTGAGGGTCTTCCACGCAGCTCTTCAGCGTCCCGTCTCGTTTCAGCTTCTGCATGTATCGCTTCAGGTCTTCTGACACCGAGTGCACTGGAGATGAAGACAAAAATAAACCAAAAACCCCCCAAAAACCCCCAAATCCCCCCCAAAAACCCCCCAGTGCTTGTACCCACTGCCTAGAAAAATGAGAGTACTGGGAAATTAAAGTTTCCTGATGTGTGGATGCCACTCAGATTCGTTATCAGAAGACATTCTAATTATTACTTCTGCTGTTTCTAAAGCAACAATTAATCTCTGTGGTCCCAGTTTAATTCCATTTAAATCCATTTATCTTAAACTGGGATCTTAAAAAGATAATTCCCATATTTTTGGCTGCACCCAGGGCTTCTAGAAAACAGCTGGTTTCTATTTTAGAAGATATTAAGGAAGAATCAGTATTTTTAAGCTCAGGATTAACCATTCTTGGTGATTTATCACGCTTTACCGTTAGCTCGGAAAGCTTCAGGGCTAAAACCATCATTTTGCTTCAAGATGTCTTCAAGTTTCTGAGCAGAAAACTTCAAATAAGATAGAAAAAAGAAAATCTTAGTGCCTTTTCCAGAGCTGTATGACAAAGCTTAATTGTTTTTGAAGGAAAAAAGGAATCCCTCCTTCCCCAGCCCCTATTTCACAACTCATTCCACAAATCAGAATGTACTTTTAGTAAAGAAATTTTAAAAAAATAAGGCAAAAAGAGGAAAAATAATTTGTTTTTTAAAAATAAGACCTTACCTGGAAACTGGACAAGAGGAGGATAGAAAGTCGCTCTATCTCTGGTAGATCCAGGCTAATTAATTTGCTTAATTCTGAAAAAAAAATCAGAATAAAATTATTTAAGAACAATTAAATTCACACCAAGTTACAAGGAATGGCCCTGAAAAGACACTAAATGCTGTTGTTGTTTAGGAGTGTGGTTTGCAGGATATTTTCCTCAAGGGAGGGGGGAAAAAAAGGGAGAAATAGAATTCCTAAGAAGGAAAAGTCACATTTAAAAGCTCAAATATGGAAATAAAAAAGCAGAGAGTAAAAAGCACCTCTCCTCAGAAGTCATTAATGCTTTTATCCTCGAGTTCCTGGACCTCTGAGGCTGCTGCTGACATGGATATCAGCAGCTACTCGTTTGGAATAACATAATTATGCTGTAATCACCCTAAAAATCACACCAAGAAATTAAATTTCAGGTTGCCACACAAGTTTCTTGAGCGAAGGGAAGAAGCAGAGCCAGGTACCAGTGACATCCTGGTGAACGGGAGGCAAAGACTTCCGGCGTTTTGTCCCCTTGAGGCTTGAGCGACACCAAGAGCGACGCTTGGCTTGAGGAGTGAGGAGAAGCTGTTTTGGGGAGAAGTTAAAAGAATTTGAATGATGATCTTCCCTGGGACTGCTTTTCCAGGGAGACCCCCTCCTGGGACTAAATCTGAGGGGGCTTTTCCCAAGGTTGGGATTTTCTTGGGATCTTTTCCTCATGGCTGCTCCAGGTGTCGTCTCATGGGGTTTAATGTTCTTGTTCACAGTGGTTATGTCAGGGGGCTTTAGGAATTGCTCAGGATCCGCTTTTTTCTCTCCAGGCTCAGATTCTGGGAAAAAAAAACCCCAACAGATCTAATCAATATGTTAGCATTCCCTGATTCTACGATTTTATGATCTTTAAGGTCCCTTCTAACCCAAACCATTCCCTGATTCTATGATTTTATGATTCTGTGATCTTTAAGGTCCTTTCCACCCCAAATCATTCCATAATTCTATAATTTCACAATCTTTAAAGTCTCTTTGAACCCAAAATATTCCCTGATTCTATGATTCTATGATCTTTAAGGTCCCTTCTAATCCATATCATTCCATAATTCTATAATTTCATGATCTTTAAAGTCTCTTCCAACCCAAACCATTCCCTGATTCTATGATTTTATGATCTTTAAGGTCCTTTCCAACCCATATAATTCTGTGATTTTTATGATTATATTATGTTTAAAGTCTCTTCCAACCCAAATCATTCCATAATTCTATGATTTCATGATCTTTAAGGTCCCTTCCAACCCAAACCATTCCCTGATTCTATGATTTTATGATCTTTAAGGTCCTTTCCAACCCATATAATTCTGTGATTTTTTTTTTATTATATTATGCTTAAAGTCTCTTCCCACCCAAACCGTTCCATAATTCTATAATTTCATTATCTTTAAAGTCTCTTCCAACCCAAACCATTCCCTGATTCTATGATTTTATGATTCCGTGATCTTTAAGTTCCTTTCTAACCCATATAATTCTATGATTTTATGATTCTATGGTCTGTAAGGTCTCTTCCAACTCAAATCATTCCATAATTCTACAATTTCATGATCTTTAAAGTCTCTTCCAACCCAAACCATTCCATGACTCTATGATCTTTAAAGTCCTCTCCAATCCCAACTATTCCACGACTCTATTATTTTATTTCCCAGGGAATCAAAAAGCACTGAGCTTTTTC